GGTGTGGGAGGGAAGGGGGGGACCACGAAATGCACTACAACAGGCGGAGTTCGGGGGGATATTTTCCTTTTAGCATTACTGGCGCTATCTAAATGGATACTTATGGAACTAGAACACATAATACGAATTTCTAGTTCCATAAGTATCCACTAGGACGGCGCTAGTAATGCTGAAAGGAAACTATCCCCCTGAACTCCGCCTGTTTAACTACATTTCGTAAAAGTCCAGTGATATTAGGTTTTCAGCTCGGAAAAATTCCCACCTAGCTGAATTTTGGTACACAACTTTATGACATTGTTAACGAGTAGGATTATAATTACGTAACCAGCATCGGAACGTAGATACGATATTGTCGTAAAAACAATACGACGATAACATCGACACTCCACCGTATCATAATCCCAAGATGATAAACAAAATACGACCGGCACGACACAAAATCCAATACCATACTTTTTTCATTATCAATTATTATTATTCCATACTCTAATTTTTTTGTTGTTCATGTAATTTTTTATATTTTATATTGTTTATTTTTTTATATATAATGTGTGCTCAGTTTCGCAATGCTTTTTTTCAATCGGTAGATAGTTTAGCTGATCTGAAAAAACGGTAATACCAGAAAAAATTCTTCAAAAACATTTGTTATATGGAAATAACCTCTTCACTTGGTGAATCCGGCTTGGAGAGTTGTTGGATACGGAGCTATGGCTTGTAAATAAGGGACAATGTCTTCACCATGAAACACTTCTTTTCATCTTCCACTTTCGGCGTTGGACGGTGCTTGGCCAATCGTTTAATGTGCTCCGATGCCTCGTAATTCAGGGGCAGCACGTGACACACCTGTTTTGTTTTGTGGTGGTAGTGGAGGTTGACACAGTTCGTTAACTTCTGTCAAGCTGCACTCAAGTCAGCAAGAAAAAATTCTTCCTAAACATTTATTGTTTGCAAAATTGTACATCGTACCTGTATTTTAATATGTTATGCAAATAAATGTCTATACAAATAACAATTTATATTTTGTCAAAGTTTTTTTTTTAAAAAAAAAATTTGCAATATTAGAAATTCTATAAAATATCTATATATGAATACACAGCAAGCAGTATAATAAGTGCGCCCTTACTGAGTGGTACGAGGGTGTCATGAGAATTAAAGTTCTCGTGACAATAAGTTTAATTTGGATTATGATATTGATTTAGGAAAAATGAAAGATAAATGAGTATTTTTTTACCTTTATGATGAAGATTGTAGTGAGAACCAGTTGTAGTTTTTTTTTTATAGATAGAAACACAGAATATTAGCTGTACCTATATGATCAGAAGAAATTAAACAAAATATATAAATATTATGAATATTGTACGAAATTATTTATTATTTATTAGTTATTACTTATTTGGTAGGTATTAAAGAATTAAAGTAAAATAATAAAATATGTAACATAGATTTATTACAATGGTGATAATAATAAGTCATAAGTCATAGTTATCCATATCTTTCTAATACAATATTATGTTCTTGTTATATTATAATATTAAGAAGTAGTATTGTATTTAATTAATAATAATTAATAATTAATTTAACTTATATTCAGTACCTAACAAAATTGGCCACTGGGCCATGACTATAGACTTCTAGAGTATACAGTGGCGTCTAAATATAATTCTTATAAAAATGTTATTAATTTTATTGTCAAGATAATGAGCTGTTAAATTTCAAAATGATTACTCAACCTCATTTTATAATAAATATCATTAATTTAGAGAATGTTTTAAGAATCTCAAAACTATTAACAAAATCTAGATTATTTGAATATGTTTATGCATTACAAAGGTACGTATCTAAATAAACTTCTCAATTACCTACCTAGTGAAAAATGTATGTTATAAATTATAATGTAAGTTTTTAGTGGGATTTAAATTTAATAATATTCTATTAGGTACCTACTGTTTCAGTAATTTTGCCACAAACCTTATCTGAAAAAATTGAGTTTTGAGAATATAACTAAGCTTGATCAGGATGAATTAGGTGAAATGCTCAAGAGTTCACAATAATAACAAGTATTAATATAATAATATCATACAATAATTTATTCTCAAAAACATCTAAACATAGTATTGCACAATGAAACAAAGCGTGTCCATAATCTTTAAGTTTGGTAAAACAATACCCGTTTTCAAGTTATCACAAGTTTAATTACAGAGTGTCCCATAAAGATTTAATAATTTAAAACAGTGGGATCATTAACATATTGTTTTAGCATTAACTCTTATAAATAACAACCAAGGCTATTTGGAAGAAAATATTTTAGTCTCTTAAATAAACAAAAAATTCCAACTAAAAATTCTCCTATATACATTATATAATATACACAAAAAGTTTTTAGAGAACATTTTAAACAATTCCATTTTCAATATTTTTATGTTTGAATGTGCTAAGTAGTTAGTTGTCGTCACAACATTTATTTTGTTTTTGATAGCCCTGGGCACACTGTAAATAATATATTTAAAGAGTACCTATACATTTCAAATCAATTTAATTAAATTATCATCATCAATAATACTTCCAATTATATAATGTGATATAAATAATAACATTATATTTAAGTATTAAATAAATAGTTCCAATTTCCTCAAAATAAATATTTAAAATTATTCTTTGAAAATTGTGTGGCCCATTGCCCATACTAATGCCGGCATTAACCTAATTATTATAATATATGACCAGTGTACTTTTTTAAAAACAATCATAAGTATTAAATATTTTATTGGAGCACAGTGGCCAATAGGGCTAAGGTGGCAGTTCAAATGTGTTTAGCTGCCGGTACAAACCCAGCCACATGCGGCATCTCTCTCTGAGCAGACGACTGCCAAGTGTAGGAGACCACCATCCCTCCTAAATAGAGAATGGCAGAAACTTACGCGTGCTCAATAATATATCTGCCAAACAGGATAACTAACTAGGCCTTTGGACATACTCATATGTACGTACCATACAAAAAAAAATATAGATTTAATTTGACTAACTATACAAATTCCAAGTGATAAAATATGTAAAGCATAAAAATGAATGAGTTATTATTTCATTTAGTGTTGACTACTAATTTTGACATTTTAATTATTAAATAAAAATGAAAAATCCATCATAAAGAAGTGAACACTTGGTAGGGGACTCAAAATGTATGGCTTTTTCAAAACAAAAAAATATGTATTATAAATAATAATCATAATTATGTTATGTAACTGTTGGGTACTCACCAATTCCGGCGGCCAGCAAAGTCTTACGGCAGAACTGCTCCGAGGCCCTACGGGGGCTGTGTTTATCAGGCCGACTCGAAACCGACACCGCGACCTGAACGCGAACTTATTACGTACCTAATCGGTGAAAAAAGACGCAACTTTATCACTTTATTCAGGCTTTGGGACCGAGGTTAAGATCTGCCACGGGAGTCGTTCCTCAGAGCAGAGGTAACGCGGAACACACGTGTGGTGGACGGTGGTGAACGACCGGCTCGCTAAACTGCTATTTTTAAGTTACTAAATTAATAACAACTTATGCGTTATGAGAAACTTTGTATGACGTTTTTAAGTTTTCGATCATACGAAAATATTTTTAACGACAATTATAGAAAAAAATACTAAATTATTGTATTGTATAAAATAAATCGTTTTCCGAAATTAATAATAATATCTATTTAGATCGTAAAGTATGCATTTTCAGAATAAAGGTTCCACAGTCTTATAATAGTGCATTAGTAATTACTTTTCTTTATCATAATTTATTCTGGTGACTAGATTTACAATACGATAAATTAAAACACTTTTCATATTTAACAACTGTTGAATACAGCAGAATCGTCATTTCGAATTTTGCAGGACGTGATCGTTACTTCCCGCTGTCACACTGGTTCACCATGACCAAGACCACGCAATTTAAACTTTCTAACAACGGAGGGTGGGCGATATCGTAACCTAACCGTTCACGCAGCTTCTATTTTGTCGTTTTTCAGCCGTTTTGGTCTTTTGTCGTTTACCATCCGTCTGTCGGAATTTCCTATGTTGCGAACCGGAAGGCCGTCGCCTTTACTACTATCATAAATATTTTATTGTGTTTCCGTGCATTCGAGCCTCGCTGCTGGCCAACTCGTCGCCTACGCCCATTTACGCGCTTCGAGTTCCAGAAAGCTGTGTAAAAACTACAGTTAGTTTGTCATTATTTCCCGTCCGCCGTTTGTTATTCCGCCGTGTTCCTCACGTGTTCACAAACCTTGCCGTTCATCCGCCTTTTTCAACACGTGAATCCGTTGGCTAATTCATTGTGTGAGTCCATTCTGACACCGAACTATTTTGTGCGGTACCGCGGATTAGCGCATCTCTACCGTATCTCATCAGCCCGCCTAGCCACAGTACGAGATAATCGAAACCACGTGCCCGCCGTTTGTAATAATCCATGGCGCCGGACGCCCATGCGCAACGGCCCACATTATCTACTGCACAGAGGATTCTCTGTACGAAATGATCCAGTGCACTTCGTTGGCCGGCAACCAATAATTATTATTATAATAACTTCAAACCCATAGCAACTATTTGTAAACAAAAATTTGCATAGGAAATATCAAAATCCCTGTTTGAGCACCTACCAGGGTTGGTCCTCTCCCTTTTTAAATTACCCCATCTTCTGCACAGAAGTTTAATCTATCTTTATACATAAAAATATCTGATATCGTGAACTTTGTTGCCCATTAAAATTGATTACTCTACATGAATAATATGTTTTACATATTAAAATAGAAACCATTTACATACAAAAAATTTCATAGGAAATCTCAAAATAATATATAAATGGTTGCCATGGCATTATATGGACACACACACACACAGACGGAAATCTCAAAATAATATATGAATGGTTTCCAAGGTAATATGGACAGACAGACAGACAGAAAATATTCGTTTTTATAATATAGTATATAGATTCATTTATTCTTTGAATGCAAATACATTTTAAGATTTATCAGATCGATATATATTGTCACGATGTGGTTGATTTAAATTATCAAATTCTAACAGATAATTTAATAGACTTTTCATTATAGTGATTCCCTCTTGATTAGCATTTTCATATCCAACCATTTTATTCGTGCACTTTATAAACCATCTATTTATAAAGTCATACTTCTCCAAGTTCACACCGGCAACCTGAGGAAAATATGAAAATGTGTGTTAAACATGTGTTCAAGTTATAACAATAATGTGTAAAAAAAAATTCGTTAAGAAAATACCTGAAAGGTCGAAATGGAAGCGACCAAAGAGAAATCGGCCACAGTCATTGAATCACCGGCTGTCCAAGTAGATGTTTTCAGAACATTTTCTAAAAACTCGAGAGCTTCGTGGATTTTATCCTCTTTTTCTTTGGTTTTCTCTATTCTATGGTAAATATACGGGTTCTGTAAAATTAAAAAAAATATATTCAAATTTAAGTAGTGTTTCCACAGAAAATATAATATTATATGCATGCATAATAACAAAAATCACAAGGTTTTTTTCTACTTATTACTGGGAGTTTTTGAAAAATTTTGAGAAATTTGTGTTAAGGATACCTATATAATGGTTTTTTCAACATGTCATCCATTATTAAATTGCTAAAAATGAAATGACTCAATTTTTTTATTAAAACGATTACTTAACATAGGCCTCAACATCTGTTATGGCCTTGTGGAAAAGCTATTGCTTCAATCTTATTTTAACTCATATTTCATAGACGATTTTTTTTTTCATTTTACCACTGGTCAGCCACTTTTCTGGTCATAGTATTATAACAACAAGTGTAAACGAATATTACAGCATAATAATATGATGCTTGGTTACAGTAGTCGGTTGATTATACTATATCATATGGATACCACGTAAAACATTTAATAATTGGTAGGGACGTTAATATTCAGTGCCTTTGCTAAAAAAAATGCAAGGTAGGTTCTGGTACCTACCTGATACAAGTGTTTAAAAACACCAATTGTGTCATTGCGTCAAACGACAGCGAAAAATAAATAACCAATGCTAATTGATCGTTATAATAAAAATATTAATAATAATAATGTGACTATTCACGTATTGATTTTTATAAGCCGGATACAAGGTGCCGCTGTCAAAATACAGTCTTTGGTTAACCTGCGCTTGAATTTTCGGGTCATTGGGGAACAGCGGATTATCGTCTTCTCCGCCGTATTCTCGAACCAAGTATACGATGATTGCATGACTGAAACGAAAATGTAAATTATTAAAAAACCGGATGATTATAGTTAATTCGTATAGCTTGGGTGTTGCCTTACAGTTTCCACAAACGATGACCCACTCCTTGCAGTAGCCACTACGTTCGCCTACCATGCTTTCATTGAGCATCCCCGACTCCGTCGATCTAATTCACCTACGACCAAAAGGCCGTACTCTTATGTATTGTGAACTCCCGTTAAATGGGGGGAGATAGCAGCATGGGTGTTTGTGGTCAGGTAGTTGGGCCGTGGTAGAGAAATTGCCCAGCTAGCGAGAGACCCAAGTTGGATTCCCGATCTGGCTAGATTTTTGATTAAATCACAAGAAGAAGTTAACAGTATTATCTTCTTTAGTAGTATTCACCTATTCTTAATAGTCCGAAATAAATTATATAAACGCGAAGCCGCGACCAAACACAGCCTCTGTACTCTTCCTTAACTCTGAAAACCTTGTTTCTCACTTACGTGGTAAGAAATTAAAAATCTCTCCGTTGTTTTATTTATATTTATTCACTTTTAATCTACTTAAAAAATCTTTATTAGGTTGATTTGTCTTTTATCTATATCTAACGATCTCTCCTATAGCTTCGGCACCATTCATATTTCAGCAATGTTTCTCTATAATTGTAGATTTATTTTAAGCGCTGTACTAACGAAAATATTTAATTTATCACTTGAAGCGGGTGCCCCCCCCCCATCGTTGGAAGTCATCCTATATCTTTCCCATTTTAGAGATTGGTAATCCATCTTTGATCACAAACTATAAAAATCAAATAATTATTCTTCATTCCTCAACAATAACCAATTTTACTCTTTTCCCAAAAGAGCACTAAATGCACTAATCCAACCTTTGTTTAAAACACGTTATTACAATCTCTTGAATTCAATACTCGAACAGATGGAATATATACTGACTTTGCTAAAGCATTCAATAGAATTAACAATGAAATTGTTTTTTATAAACTACTAGTCATTTGGTTTTTTGACTCTTTGTTGTCGTAATTTCGTTATTTTCGTCTTATATTATTACCGATATTGTGCATCCGGCCAGACTGATAATATAAAGTATCGCAAATTAACGTCCCAAATTGCGAATATATCAAATAACAAACGTCATCTGCCATCCACTGTTTACCGTCAAGATCAACTTTTAGGTATCCCAGCACTCTTTACATCATAAACTAATTTTTTTCATACCAAAAAACATTTCCAAATATCACAGGTAATAAGGGTTTCTCTTTTAAAGCCTTGCTATCATTTTTAATTGTTTACCGTAATGGTCACCACAATTTTATTTTAATTCAGGAAAATCTAAATAACACAGATATGGAGTTTCATTCAATCCGTCCACAGTGCCAACGCCCATCAAGAATTTGCACCGTTCCACACTCTGCACCGAAATCTCTTTTGCACTGGGTAATCTAGGTCACTCTGTTAGCCTATCATAAACATTAAATAAAAGACAAATTCCCTCTACCATTATTTTCCATGAAAATCTACAAAAATAGTGCCAATGTATCCATTTTCGATATTTCTTGTAACGGAGTACGACATAAACGGTACTTTTCTGGACCACAAAAAACCAATAAATACACTCTAAAAATATAAGACGCAGTTACAAATAGTAGGTTTTACATAATAAAGTTGAAACGGTTTGATGAAGAAAAACCGCACTGAGCTAAAGACAACCATCAAGAAAATTTGCGATAGTGACTCGTCATACCAACAACTTACAACCAATCAGCAACAGCTATAATGATCCAAATGGGTATACCAATTACCATTACATTTCCGAAATTCAGTCAGTGTTCAATTTCATCTCTAACCGTCAACAAAGTATATTTTACAAGCAATTCGAACACTGACGACAGGGGACTCCTAGACTAGAAGATCAACACCGACTTTGCAGTATAAACCGGACGAAGACGGCGATCCAGCTCTTATCGCCGAGCAGACCATTGGCGAACGCCCGATCCGACGAGGCGAACGCGACCGTGACCAGCTATCCGGCCATAGTAGCTATGGAACGACGACCATCTAGCCACGAACCTGACGATGCTGACCGCTCGGGACGACGAGGCGAACATGGCATACTATAATCGTCGGCCGCGGCTTAATATCTAGCCATTAGTAACCATCGATACCATACGGCGTTATCTCGCTTGCGTAAGTCTGGCTGACACACCCGTGAACCTCACTCGCCCCATATCTGTTATTAATATATGTGTATATAAATAAAGAATACGACGTGATAAACTGATGCCGACATTGGTTGAATTAGTTAATGACATGTTTATACTTTTAAATCTATAGACAATATCTAATTTGGGACACATACTAGTTGCGGACGAATTATTCGGGTTAGGAATTATAATATAACAATTGCGGACACGAGTTTCGTTGTCATAATACTAATTGCGTACAGAGCTTTTTTTAATAAAAACTACGTTAGTTGTGGACACAAATATATCCCTTCACCACTTTTTCAGGACTTATGACAAAAGCTAAAAAAAAAAAATTGGTAGGTGGGGTTAAAAATATTTATGTCTTGCAAAAGAATAATCGTTATTTTTAAAATGTTGTTGAATTATAGATTGTTTTAATTTTGTGGAAAAAATTGTTTATAAAATATTTATAGATTATCGTCTTAGTTTTTAAAACAGCCTGTATATATGATATTCTACTGATTTCACCACGTGAATATTGTAACATTATCCGCAATTAGTATCTTATATTTGTGTCCGCAATTCGTATGTTACCTTTTTAGATTTCGTCCACAACTCACATGGTTTTTGTCACTTTGTCCGCAATTCGGAAACACCGCTAATTTGTAAATTGATACCAGATCAGTAATTACAAGTAAGTAGGTATGCAATATACAATATGAACTGATAGTAAATTACTTACAACAACCAATATATTGATTTATTGATCATAAGTTTGATTTTCGATGATGATTTCACCTTTTTCTTAGTAATAATTTATACAAGTTCACATTACAAAGTTGTATTTTGTTAATATTCTATATTATAACCGAAAACAATATCAACGGCACATATGTGTTTAAAACATGTACAACGACTATTGAGCAAACAGAAGAGCTTATATACATTTTTTTTATTGCAAACCAATTATGGATTACACCAAATAATTTTGAATTTTCAAAACCAAAGTAAATTATATCCATGTAATATTTATAGTACTATTTATTACTTAATAATCATAGTCGTTTTTAAATGCAAAACTTGTTAATAGTCTAATAGCAGACTATAGAGAAATGATAACTACAATTGTTAATTGAAAATAGTAACTGCAATATTAATTTTTGTGAGAAAGAATCAAATTAAATGTGTAGATTGCATGATTGATATATTATATTTTAAATCACAAGATCTAGCTTCTAGACCCCTTATAATAATGATCTTGCACATACAATTGAGGGTATAAATATTTTCAACTATTTGTGTTAACCCTTGACTAGACCTTTCTCAGTGAGGAAAATAAACAAATAAATAAACTTGAAAATGTACAATTAAAATCAATAAAAACTAAACATTTTTATCCTCTTTATTTAAATGAGGAAATTGTCTGAGAAAAAAGAACAATTAAAAAAACTAAACAGGAAGTGTCACAGGTAACCCTCGGAAGACGTGAAAACATATATGAGATTAGAAATATAGATTTACTAGCTGAATACCAAGGCGTTGCCCGGGAATTATTAAGAAACTCATTTTAGGTGTGTTTCGCTGTGGCCGCTGTGCATATCGAAGAAAAATCATATTTAATTTTAATTTTTAGCAATCTCGCATGGAGTTGCCCGTGAGTCTCGCTTATGGTTATTATCATTTATCTGGTAAGCAATCTACCTGCGTTAGATTGCAGACACAGTGCGGTGGCTGATAAATTATGGCATAAAGCTTTTTAGTTGAAAAAAAAAAGTTTATACACTGTACTTAAAATAGTATTGAAGTCATAGTCGATTATCCCAGATTTTTAGGAGCGTTTAATATTTATATAAATATTAATTTTGGGGTTTATTTTATTTTAATTTATTTAATTTTATTCTAAAATGTTTCCACTCATTACCCAACGACGAACATACGCCGAGGTCGCGGGTCGCCCATTACCAACAGACAACTGAACGACCAGATGATTTAAATAAAATAATCAATGTTTTGAAAATACTCAATGATATTATTACCCAATTATTAACTTTACTTTCGAAAGTCTTTGAAAATATATGTTTAACTCCAACTAAAGACATTCCTTAATATTACATAACGTTTACGTATGTATTTGATTTCTTTTAACTATCTTATTTCAATTTTTAATACCGTTTTTCAAATTATAATTATTGATATTATTGTTATCTTCGTGCACTATATTTATTATAACCTCATACCAGAGTTTTGTAATCATTAACATTATCTTTTTAAATATATGTTATTTACTTCGACTTATAAGTACACAATTTATATTCTATATTATACAAAAAAATCCATGCTTTAGGTATACATAATTCTCAGAACCAGTAAACGAAAAATACAACTTTATGCTTTATAATATCATTCAATATTTTGGTACAACTCGTATAGTTATCTAATAAATGTTATAACTTGAACTCACCCCTCCGACAAAACAAAGTCACCGTCCTGTATTACCGGTATTGTAGGTGGTTTAGAGTTTCTATAATTTTTCTGAAAAAAAAAAAAACGATTGTACCTACTGAACATTATTTAGCGCAGGTGGTAAAGACACCATAATAAGACAATTAATTTTCGAAAACTTACTTTGATGAAATTTCGTATATGTTTTTTATTAGTCGGGAGACGCTTATTTATTAAGTTAATTTCCAAATTCAAAGCTTCCAGAATCAACAAAACGGATCTGCATGGCGGGTCCATGGGATCGTAGTATAAGTTGATATCCTTTCTACAATTATATTTTAAAAACTTACTTTTATAACAATATTGGAATACTAGGTAAGTACTTATATTTATATAATAAACAAAAAAAAAAAATAGGGGAAAAGTGATTTCATAATAGAAAATTACTTAAAAAAAAATCACACCCTGGCTGTCGTAAGTACGATGAGATTATATTACGTACAATATTATTATAATACGTCGT